CTGTGTTGTAGTGACTAATTGTGTCTAGTTAGGCAAAATTAAATTTACAAAATCAACTCCTTGAACAAAGGGTTACTTATTTTTTCTTCAGTGTCGCAAAAATACCTAATTATATAAAAAAAAACTCTTAAAATGATTGACATAAATTGATAAGCCTTAAGGCAGTGACCTAGCATTATGGGCAAACGTTGATATACAGGGTATTTCAGTTCGAGTGAATCAAACTTTAATCACAAATAGAACTCAATAAATAATTCAGAATTGCCTTATAAAGCAAGGGTCTAAGTCTCACCGTTTTCACTGTACAGGGCCGTATTGGTCGGTTTTTGAAATCATATTATTTATGAAATCTTTGCTATGCTTATAACAAATTGATTCAAATTTGGTGTGGTGTTAACATTTACACATATGCATAATTTATTGTAAAACTTACAAATTTTTGTAGGTCATTTTTAGAAAATTTAAAATTCATACACCTATGACTTGTTTGGACTTTTCATAGTTATTTTAAAATCATCTAATTTGCAAGAATGAATTTCTATAGTTCTTTGTGAAATAGATAACTGAAGTTGTTTTCTATTTATTTTATAAAAAATTAAAAATATATGTATAATTAATCAAATATGACCTGTTTACAAAATAAAATAATAATAAATAAATAAAATGGAAGCAGACATTTTTCCTTAGAAACTTAGTTAACTTCCAAAATATTCGGTGGTGTCAAAAGTTCTTTGCGACTGTATCTCCTAGTTTATCTTTCACTGGTTGCCGTATACGGCAAATATCTGTTGATATATCAACAAAAATTTCTGCATAGAATTAGAGTAAAAACATGTTATCAATTTATGTGTTTTTTTTGCTATTTCAATACTCTACATCACCAAAACGGAAAGTTATACGGTCTAGATTTATATAAACTTTTTCTTGATTTGAGATGCTTTATCACCAGGTAAAATTTGGCGTGCACGGTTGAAAACACCCTGTATATTTCATTTTATAATATTTCGAATTTGGGCTTTTGTTTTTTATTAATAAAAAACATTTTTAATATAAAATTGTTATAACATCAGCAATATTTCATTTCCTTAGGTATTTTGCTCATATTTATATAATTGCTTGACTAATTTGCACGTTATTAGTTTTTACAACGGAGACAGAAAATACAAATCACAAAATTCTAAATTTGATTCAAAGGTCGAAAACTGAGTTATAGTTTACTCCACTTCTTAGCTACTCGGGAGGGACATTTTCCTGCTACCAAAACGTCACCTAACATTTAAAGTGCAATAAAACCATCCATAACAGAAATAACGTTTTATTTAATTCATAAAAATTGTATATATTATCTGTGCAGTATTGATATTAATTGCCACATTTAAGCGATACATTCAGACTATGATTTCTATACAATATTTAAAATTACATTGCCCTGTCTCATTTGTAGATGTTAAATTAGAAATAGTAGAGTTTCCTTGATTATCTACATAATTTGTGTTGCTAACATACTAACAATTTTTAACTGTTCATCATCCAAAGAGATTTAACTTGCACAAAAATACTTACATTGTCAATGTATTTGCTATGATCTTTATGCTGATTTACCAATTTTATCAGTTCTAGTTTAGTTATCACAAATGAAAGGGGGTGGTAAGTTTTGTGCTGCCGCTATTCAATTTTCAAAAAAAAAATATGGTTCCAATTTTCGACCTAATTAATTCAATACTCCTGCAAACTTCAGAAATTCCAATAATCAAGCACCTTAAAACACCAATTCATTATTAAAAGCCAATTAATATGCACAAATAATCTGCGTGATAAAACACGCTTACTATTTTAGTATTTTAACCAAGATTACGTTTTTCCCAAATATCTTCAATCTAGCAAAATTACTGATATTAATTTTGTGTCCAAAGTTAAACATTGTCCGCATATTAACCTTAATGTGGATTTTTTTAAATTTAGTCACCAAAATATGTACAGAAGTTTCTAATTTCATTATCTTTAATGACGCACCAATTGTGATACGCTTTATAGTTTGTTTAGTTTGTTTTTTTCTGGTATCAACTTTTCTGTTTCTTCAGCTTCTCGCAGTTCTGGCGGAGTACGCTCTAATTGATTGTCAGACATTTATTTCCGAAGATGATATTAATTACCTACTGTAATGAAGGTGACAAAAATAACACAGCCCCACAAAAAAAAAGTATCAGATCTGGTATTCAGACCCATGTATTTCCATGTATTTTTCACCGCTGAATCCGAATCTGCCTTCAGATTTGGCCCAACGGTCTGACTTTTCGGGAAAATTAAAAAAATAGGTCAAAATTCACAAAAAACGTCATTTACGATCGACGAAAGTTATAAAAAATCAAATAATTCTACCAGCTCACTAGACGTATGATTTTTCATTCGTTTAATTCCAATTTATCAACATAGAGTCAGACAAGCTGGTCCAAAACCATGGATCCATCTTTTTATCCACCCGTCCATTTATGAATTCATACATCTTTCTATCCAATCGCTCATGCATGAATATGCATATTTATTCATCAACCTGTACCACTTATAAAACCTACCCATTCACCCATCTACCCATCTACTTTTTGTACTGAGAGATGAGATAACAGTCTAGGCCTAGAAGATTGAGAATGCAATAAAACTTGTAGAATACTCTACTTTCTAAACAAAAGAAAACGACAAATATAATAAATCTACAAATAATTCTTATTTTTGTTGCTATAATACGCTCTCTTTTCTTCAAAGGATCTATGCAAAGGGTTACGCTTTCGTTTAGTCCCTCTATTTTTCGTTTCTCTTTTTAACAACCAATAAAAATCGGCCATAGTGTTTTCGAATTTCCGAATATTTCTGAGGGGAAATTGAAAGAAGGTGTCTTCGATGGACCTCAGATTCGGACATTGTTCAAGGATGCCAACATTCATCACCACAATGAGTAGCGTTGAGACGAGTGCTTGGACTAGTTTCAAAGCTGTAACGACAAATTTTTTAGGAAACAACAAGAGTCCTAAATACTAAGAAATTGTATCAAAAATGATAAAAGGCTTCCAAGATCTGGGATGTTTGATGAACTACAAGTTGTACTTCCTTCATTCACATCTGGATTGGTTTCATGAAAATCTTGGAGATTATAGTGAAGAACAAGGCGAACGATTTCATCAGGATATGAAGCTTTTTAGAACAACGATATCAAGGAAGATGGGATGAAAACATGATGGCCGATTTTTGTTGGTTGTTAAAAAGAGAAACGAAAAATAGAGGGACTAAACGAAAGCGTAACCCTTTGCATAGATTCTTTGAAGAAAAGAGAACACGTTATAGCAATAAAAATAAGAATGGTTTGTAGATATCGTTTTCTTTTGTTTAGAAAGTAGAGTATTCTACAAGTTTTATTGCATTCTCAATCTTCTAGGCTGTTATCTCTCAGTACAAAAAGTAGATGGATAGATGGGTGGATGGGTGGGTTTTATAGGTGGTACAGGTGGATGAATAAATATGCGTATTCATGCATGAACGACTGGATAGAAAGATGTATGAATTCATAAATGGGTGGGTGGATAAAAAGATGGATCCAGAACTCTGCAACACGAATTATGCCATGAAAATGGCGTTTTTAAGCAGTTTGATCTATTTTCTGTTTTTGAATGAAATTGGACCAGCTTGTCTGACTCTATGATGATAAATTGGAATTAAACGAATGAAAAATCATACGTCTAGTGAGCTGGTAGAATTATTTGATTTTTTATAACTTTCGTCGATCATAAATGACGTTTTTTGTGAATTTTGACCTGTTTTTTGAATTTTCCCGAAAACTAAGACCTATTGGGCCAAATCTGAAGGCAGATTCGGATTCAGAGAAATACAAGAGTCTGAATACCAGATCCGATCCTTTTTTTTTGTGGGGCTGTGTAATTAACGCAAGTGCTATTATTTGACAATTATTGTTGGCATCATTTTGTCAGGTTTGCCAGGTAACAACTTCGCAGCAATCATACATGCCTTTTTGTTAAGTTATACTAGTCAAATTATATTAAAAAATATCAACAGAATAATTACTAACTAGTTGTGAATTAAATTGTGAATTGAAATAGATATAAATAGATTTAAGTAAATACTTAAATATATAATATAAAACCTTCATTAAATAATCTTTAATTTACCAAGTCGAGGGTTCCTGCCCTACTAGGTCTCCTTTCTCTGTTACTCTTACTGGGGATTCTCTTCTTAATCCGCACATCTCGCGAACAAGATGATCAGCAAACTCAGAGCTGTGCTATAAATATATTTCCATTTCAGTTTTATTAACATGTATATAAGTTCAATAAAATAAAAACCAAAAGCAGCTCGATATCATTTCTTTTTAACAAAACAGAGGATTAATAAAAAGTAACGAATACTACCAGTATTAGCATTCAAATATCGTAATAGCACCGCAAGAATGGATCTTCAATGCGGACACCGTCGTCAAGCATGCAACAGAAAATGGCTCCCAGTTTCTTTAACACAGCTTTGCGAAAGTTTTTTTAAGCGATGGTGTTTGCTCGACATGAGTTGGTATGTATACTAATTTATTATTTTTAAGCATGTTTCTTACTTAAACGCTCATTTAAAAAACGAAACAATTAAAATGAAAGTGTGATGAAATAACTAAACCACAAATAATAAAATGAGATAAACTAAGTTTTTCCTTTCGTCCTTCTGCATGTACAAGAGCACCGTCTTGATGGCACGGTTTTTACACTAAACTCACCAAAATTTTACACAAGTAGTCTAGTCTATTTGGCCCGGTTTCTCTATCTCTCTCTATGTACGTCTCTGTGTCTGCTCTGAAACTCATACTGATTTTTACCATAGCCTCCAGTCTATATTTTATTATGTATATAGTTGAATGCAAATTGGGGAGTACTGTGATCTATCATCTTGAGTATCTCAATTTGCCTTGATTTAAACTTTTGGAGATGTACTCATAGCCTTGTCTTTCATAGGTGGTCGCCTTCTCTGCGTCTCGCAGGTGAAGGTGGTCAGTTGGCTGATTTTATAGATGGTTTAGGTCCTGGGCAGCTGGTAGGAAGGCAAGTCTTGGGGGCGCCAGCACTTGGAGACATCCAGCTCTCCCTGTGTTACCAGAAAGGCTTCCTGGAGGTTGAGGTTATCAGAGCCAGAGGTCTCCAAGCAAGACCTGGGTCTAAGGTGTTACCAGGTGGGTAAAAAAAATGCCCAAGATGTACTAGAAACGTAGATACTAACAATTAATTAGTACTTGCAAAGGTGTATACCAATAAAATGTACATATAGGTACTTTCAATTTAAAATTTTCAATTTTTTATTTTAATACATTCTTTAGAAGATTCAATAATAGTTGAATAGTAGTAATAGTCAAATTAATTTAAATTTGTTCATTGAGGATAATCTAGCGCCAAGGAAATCTGGGTTATCTTAAGAGATACAAAACCAGTTAAATTAGTGCAAATGTGCGGAACTTATTTTGGCTATAGCTTTTGAAAAAAATATTTTTGGTATACACTATACACCGTCGAAGACTAATAGAATAAATAGACGAATTCAAAGTTCCAGGACTGTACTTAGAAAATGTATTATTCTGTGGCCTCTCCGAAAAATCCATACTATATAACTTTCTACTATTTCGTGTAGCATATTAAGTAACTATTACTATGTAACTAAGTATGTATGTATGGAACTATGTAACTATTAAGAAAGATCATGGATCTGAATTTTTCGTGGCAATTTTTTTAACATTTTAATTAGCAATGAAATTCTGGTTATCACACATTTTATTAATCAGTGTTTTTTTTAATATTATTCTAACAATGAGAACAGATAACGAGCGTTCAAATAAAAACGTGGTCGAAGTTGGCTCTGACACATTGGACGTAGGGAGTAGCTTATAGCGACCAACTTAACCTCATTTCTCAACGAGCTGTATAGCAGCTGTCAGTTTCAATAACGTTAATGACTATATAACTTTATTTTAAAGAATAATCGTGATAACAATAACAAACAATTAAAGGAGCTGCGGAAAGTGTCCCCCTCCTTGTTATAACAATAAATTAAAGCAGCTGCTGAAAGTGTCCCCCTCCTTGTTCCAAGCACTTTTCACACCTGTTCCTCAAAGAATTAAAGACATTTTCTAAGATGCTCGGGGTATTGTTAATTTCACGAATCTTGTCTATAAGTCGAGCCTGCAGATGGTTTAAATCAGGAATAGGCAGTTCAAAAATAGTGTTTTTAAGGTAAGGCCACAAAAAGAAATCACACGGCGTAATATCACATGACCTCGGTGGAAATTCATGTTCAGCATTGAGACTTATTAGTCGATTTTGGAAAACTTCCCTCAACATATTCATCGTCTCGCCTGCCGTATGTGCCCTTGCGCCATCTTGTTGAAAGTAAAAGTTTGTAATTTCGTTTTCTTCCAGCTGGTTAACAAAAGGAGCGATAATTTCTTCTCTATACCTTTGCGCAGTAAGAGTACCATTAAAAAAAATAGGTCCATAAATCCTCCTTCGATTGAGAGCACACCAAACTCCAATTTTTTGAGCGTGTAGAGGGCCCTCGACAAAAAAGTTATCTGGTTTTTCAGAAGACCACATTCTCATATTCTGTGAGTTTACGTAACCACTTAAATGAAACCAGGCTTCATCAGAAAAAAAGGTGATATTATGAAGTTCACCGTAGTTGTTTAAAAACCATTCACAAAATACAGCCCGTCGCGGAAAATCAACTTCATGAAGTTCTTGCTGACAAGTTAAACGATAGGAGAACAAACGCAAATCTTTTTTTAACACTGTGTGGCAGGTACCGACTGATACTCCCACCATTTGTGATAAAACACGTACAGAAGTTCTTGGCGCATTTTCCATTATTTGTTGGACATTTTCTTTTAATTCTTCAGTCCGCTTTTTAGGTCGGCCGCTTCCTTCTTTTCTTGTTACACTGCCCGTTTCACGAAAAACATTAACACAACGCTGAACTGCACTTTGAAAAATTTTGTACTCAACAACGCCGGGAAATTGATTTTGAAATTCTATGAAACATTCCTCAATAGAATACTTCCATATTCCATCAATCTTGCGTCCATTTCTAAAGTAGGACTCTATGATAAACACTTTTTGTTCTTGAGAAAACACCATTTTAAACGCTTTTTAAAACGAAAATATTCAAATTGATAGCGGCGATATAGCGCTTTGACAGATGACGTTTAAGTTCATTTGCTATACGCTACGCCCTACGTCAAAATTTTCAGAACCAACTTGACCATGTTTTTATTTGAACGCTCGTTAGAACTAATAGTTTCATATTGTATTTTGTATTTAAAATACAACTTCTTATTTTAATTTTATAAACATTGATGAATTCCGTCATATCGGAAAAGTTACTCCTTTATATTTTTCTACTATTTCTTGCAGCTTATTAAAAGTACATACTTTTTTATTTCTGAAATAACGACATTTGTATGTAGTAACAGATTTATTTAATAATCTAGTTTTTCAGTAGGTATTAGAAGTAGTATGTTAAAAATATTTAATAGAATTTTGTATTGAAAATATTCATCCTATATTATTTTTGTTGCTTTATATTTTATAAAGAAGTATAATCTATTACATCTGTAGTAGGTTAAATAATTAGATATCCTGTAATGCGACTTCTTATCAGCAAAATCTGCTGGTGTTTCAGCTTTTATTTAATCAGGAAACTTGTCGTAGAACAGATGATTATCAGCAAAGACTTTTATATAAACCTGGGTATTTGAAACTATTTGCAACAAGAGAAAACCCATAAATTATGTTTGTAACGAAAGTAGTTTTAAAGTTATTTTGAATTTATTCAACTATAATGATGAGCTGACCTATAATATTAGATAAATTCTAGGCATACCTCAAACGTCTTCGTAGTAATTATTAACACCCTGTATACCGCGAATGAAGCGTATTGCGACCCACGTATATTTGAAAGTTTTTGCTTAAAATAATATGTTTTATCACCTGATAAAGTTTCCCGATTAGAACTTGTAACACCCTGTATATTACAATTATACTGAAAGTTATTAAGTGAACTAACGACTACTTTTAGACTTAGGAATATTAGAGAAAAGTTGTTGCAAATTATTTACTGATTATTTTAAATTCCTTCTAGTTAGAAACACATTGAATTTTTTAATTGTTTTCTCTCAATATACAGAGGAAACATTTCCGATACGATATGTGATTGAAAATATTCATTCTTTAGGACCTTCAAAACCTGGAAAAGTACAGTAGGAAGTCGTGACACTGAACTGAAATATTGACTGTAACTGTATTTATTCTTATTAGAATAATATTGAAGAGAATGTGTAACTAGAATTTCGTTGTTAATTCAGAAATTGCAAGAAGTGTTACAAACAAAACAATGCAGGATTTATCCAATGTCCTTTCAATGTGCCATACAGGTCCAACTTTTTAGAGGTGCCTCAAAAGAACAATAATTTTCCAAGTACAATCCTGGAATTTTAGAATTGCAACCTCAAAAGTCTTCATTAGTATGTATATGGAGTATAACAATCCTCTCGAATATCCATAAATTTTTGTGCCTAGAACTTTTTAAGTGATAATTATATACTCGCCAAAGTTGCTACCACTCACAATCAGTATGTACAACTCAACATTAAACACCTTATATATATATAAGAAAAACAGGAATTGCCAGATGTAGTTATTTATTAATAATTACCTACATGCTGCACACCATTCTGCCTATTCTTATATATAAACACGTACTACAAAATTGTCATTAATATCATTTAAATACAATGCCTCTTTTTAGAAATAAATATACACTATATGATTACCATCTGTGATACCTCACGTAAACTACCTACTATTAAGTATTGAATGTATACAATATTCGCTACTATTTTTTGCTGCAATTTCGGCGATATGTTATTAGTAAGTCAAATCCAGTGTCAAATTAATTAACTTGCCGACCTTTCAGTACACCATGCATTATGTGGATTTAATAGCAGATGTTTAAGTTTGGCCTATTTTATTTGTCGTAATTCTGTCGTATGTTTTTGTCACCATTTTTTGATTGTAAATAATGGATCTATATCATTGAGATGTACCTACATATGGTATAATACTAATGCGCAGTAATTCGTCTGTTTTAAAAGTAAGTAGAGTAATTCTAAAACACTGTTTCTGTTTAATTCCGACAACAAATGATAGCCACATAATGTATTCGGAAAATATACTTTCTTTTATGGAAGAATTGTTACTAATTTATTTAGTTAAAATTTAATAGACGAAAAAATAGCATACCTATATACAAAAATAATACTATAGAGAGAAACAGTTTGATATACAAAATGTATTTATTTAATTAAAAATATTTAAAGTTCTTAATGATTTCTTATTTTCAGTCAAAGAAAAAGAAACGATGATAATAATATAGACTGATTTATATCAGGAGTTGAAAAATTAGGGACCTGTTTCAAAATCTAATTTTAACCGAAGAATCACGAAATACCATCATTTTTTCCTATCGGGCTTTGTATTTCATATATTAAGGTTGACAAGTTTCAAAGATAAATTCAAATTATACAGAAAGTAACAGTAGCAATGTGTAAACAAAATCATTTAAGTAACGTGTGCTTGATGCAAAAAGTAAACATATTTTGTATAGCAGGCTGATAGTTATCAGTTGATATTTATAAAACAGAATAGACATCAATCGTCCCGCTGAGTATTTTCAGATGCTTCAAAAACTTTAATAGTGTGGAATTGATGATCCTCATGATGGTGTACATTTACGATACAATGTTGCACAAGGAGAAATAATTTATTGCAGCGCTTGACGAACCAAGTTTCTCAAAATTACGCTTGGAGGACTTTACACAAAGAAATGCTGCACCTTCAATACACTTACCATTATCAGCGTATCCATCACTTACAATTAGGAGATGAAGTGCAAAAATTGGTATTTTCAAAATAGCTTCGCAAGCAACTCGAAGAAAATTCCAATTCTTTTTTATGGTACGACGAAGACACTTTTACTAAAAATAAAGAAAATAAAAAATAAAAAACTGCCATCAATGTATAGTCAGTACAAAATCCTTATGCATTAGGAGACCCAATTTTCTACATCAGATTTTCTATTAACATGTGGTATGCATTTTCAACGATCGGATACTACAAATTACTTACAAATTATCAACATTGTTTTAGTGTCGCCTTATACCTGCAAATATTGAATAAGTTGCGCGTGTCATAGATGTTCCGTTGCAAGATATGTGGTAGAACGGTTAGAACACCATTTTAATGGACGGTGAATAGGTAGACGCGTTCAGATGCCTGCTAGAGCGCCAGATCTTAATCCATTGGATTGTTATAGTTGTTATGATGTCAATTGGAACCTGCAAATCTTAAAGCACAGGACCATATGCACTTCTCCTGAAATTTCTTCTTATGCTTTAACCATGGCGTGTCTCGTAATTTATACTCGAATAGCAATTCGGCGAATTTGGTATTTACTCCAGTCGGCAGAGGCCGAAAAGTTACTGTTGGTGACATTTTCTTGATAACTCGGAAATAACTACACAGGTCTACTTTAAATGATGAGTATAATAACAGGCTAATTTGCTGACAAAGTATTTTATCAGGAAAAAAAGTTATTAACAATTTAATCGTGAAAAAAATTTTTTTTAGTAGTTTTCTTTAAATAACTCAGCGGGATGACTTTGTACGAAAAAATGCTTAGGACATGATTTTGTTCGTAATAAAAATAGCTACAAAATGGCGGTGGTCCGATTACGAAATTTGCAATAACAAAGCCGTGAGATTGAAAAAACGGTATAAAACGCCAATTTTTTTAAGTTGCTGTAAAAATGTCAATTATAAACAAAAAGTGATAAAACTTTCGAAAACTATAGTTCAATATATATACAATAATGACGCTAAAGCCGAAAATCAGGAGAGCAAAACTTTTTGTTCTATAAGGTGTTATACATTCATCGGCATCTGAAACTCGAAACTTTGCCAAATTTGTTCGAAGCTTTGCTGACACTTGAAATTTGGTACACACATAGTGTAAATATGCAGAAACTAAAAGCAATTTGCAAAATTCAAGTATCTTCATTTTTGCAGTTTTGGTAAGGTTTTGTACGTCACCCTAGTTTTATACGTCACAGTTTTTTAAATTTTTGGACGTATATTTATGTATATTTATAAAATATTCCATTACGGTAGATTAGCCAGCAAAATTACCTACAATTTAAAAAAATATATATTTTCATCGTTTAGATCCTAAGCTACTTAATATTTTGCGCCTGTTAGCCGTAGTCGTACATTATTCAGCATATTAACATAAAACAAAATCGTACGTGTACGTGTGTAATTATTTCCGGGTTATCAAGGTTTGACACACGCCGAACCTCTACCAACTGGACTAATTGGTAAACTAGTCCGTCTGATGTATAAACTAGTCCGCTTAATGTAGAATTGACGGCGGTGCGCAGGTCATCAAAGCAAACCTGTATTGGTCCACTAGGTCGTAAATAATTTTTTTGTATGGTACACGGGTGCACTTAGCTTTGCCGCTTTGCCAGTGCCGTGGACGTTTTTTAGAGCGGAGGATAACGAAAATCCCCAAACAGTGGAACCGGTGGAACCGTAAAAAGTCAACGTATTATATTAAATATATATATATGAATGTTTGAAAATTGAAAATAGTGAACAATGTAATAAAAATGTTATGAAACATATTAACGAATTTACTAAGATATCCAAAAAAGGCCAGTTTATCGCGTAATTAAAGAAGGATTGATCATGGTACATAGAGGAAACGGAAAAATACAAAATTAAAGAAAATTGACTATTTTACCAGATGTAATGCGGCGCACAATTTATAATATGTATAAAGAAAATAAAGTTCCCACTTTAAACATGATTCGAGATAAATTAAGCGATTAACCTGAAAAATCTATCTATAAATCTTATAGATATTTTATGACATGCTTTATTACAATGCGATTTTAAACATAAACAACTTGACAATCGTATGGTAATTATATGGTAATATAGCTCGGAATATAGCATATCTAGACGAGACAGGGCTAAATTTTTCTGGACGTCTATGGATTCCGTAGAATTTATGAGTTAAATGTTTTTATGCGGTTCCAATTGAGATCGTAACAACTATACTGCACGAGTCACATGAAATAAATAGTTTATTCCGAAGAAATAAACAATGAAGATCATATACAAAACAAAATTATAAATGCTGCACCTCAAATTCAAAGTAATAAAGATCTTTCTTCAGCTATATCGCGGTTGACTATTCGNTAGACGCGTTCAGATGTCTTCTAGAGATATCAATCCATTGGATTGTTAGTTCACGAGTCACATGAAATAAATAGCTTATTTCGAAGAAATAAACAATGAAGAACTTATACAAAACAAAATTACAAATGCTGCACCTCAAATTCAAAGTAATAAAGATCTTTCTTCAGCTATATCGCGGTTGACTATTCGAATATAATCTTTAGTATAATGTTATTTTGTGAAATTTGAAATTTATATTTCGAAGCTGTCAATTTTGATATCTGAAAAATGAAGCCTGATAGGAAATTTGGACTTTTTTGCTTAAAATTGCAGATTCTTCATTTTTCGCTTCTTGCTATAAATTACACATACCACTATACTAAATATATTATAGGTAGAAGACCTATAAAACATGTAAATGTACTGAGAAAATTTATGTTTACTATTATGCTTGATTTCAGCCCCATATGTGAAGGTGTATCTAGTGAATGGTAAAAAATGTATAGCTAAAGCGAAAACTTCGACAGCTCGCCGAACATTAGATCCATTGTATCAACAGCAATTAGCATTTAGAGAGAATTTTCAAGGCTGTATACTTCAGGTAAGTTACCTGTTTGTCCTTATATGTATATAAAATAATTAATTTCCCTTGATCTTACTTTCCTACTATCGGGTCGAGTTTTTTAATAGATTATGCTTCCTAAAATATAACTGAAAGTGAATACACTGCATATAGGATGTACCGAGTAAAACTAAATCTTCCTTAGCCTTGGTAATGTCAGTGATATAAATAAATGTTTTAGATATAAGTTGCTCCAAATCAGCTTGTTTAGTTTTACAGAGTTTACATACTCTCTTTGTTATTATTATACAGTGCTTTCGAAAAGTAACGAATAAATTAATTATTTTTTAAATTGAGAAGTTTTCGAAAAAATCCCCTGGCACGTCGATTTTGTTTTTAAAAAAGGCACTTTATGACATGCGACCCATATTTGTGACGTCATCGTTGTTCGAGATATGACGTCATCGACAATTTTTTTAAATAGCAACCCCAATTTTGACCATGCCATTTGAAAGAGCGTGTCATTCTACATACACAGATCATGAAAAATTATGGTGTTACATAACAAAACTTTCAAGAAAATAATATTTGAAGATTTTAAAATTTAATTTTCACAATACTGAAAATGATAATGATTATGTAAAAATCGACTAAATTAAATGTTCAAATTGTGCACCGTTGGCTGCCTGACAGTAGCCAAGAGGATTAATAAATTCTTTTTGGACATTATCAATAACTTCATGAGGTATACGATGTATCTCGTGACGAATTCTTGCTTTTAAATCTTCTAAATTAACCCGTCTAGTAACGTATACTTTGCTTTTTAAGTATCAACACAAGAAATAATCTAGGCGTGTCAAATCAGGCGATCTGGCTGGCCACTCAATCGGCCCATTCTCCCTATCCAACGATTCGGGAACAGCTCATCTAAATAAGCACGGACAGGTGCTGCATAATGGGGAGGTGCACCATTTAGTTCTATGGTTAGTCCTATGGTTTATCATATGTTAAACCATAGGGAGACCACCAGTAGGTGAAATATGGTTCCTTTTTGCCAATTATTTATTTAAATAATTGAATTATTTCTAATATTTTGTAAAATAAATTATTCCTATTATATCTTGGGGGCGTTATTTAATTTCATTTTCTCAAATAGGCCACCCTATACATTATTACATTTTTGAATTCGTAGTTGAATTTAAGATCATTTTTGATAAGCAAATACTGCGTGTAAGTCATACTGCATCTGATCTAATGCAAAATTATTTAGATAAGCCAAATGAATCGGTGGAAATAAACAGTATTATTGGCAGTTACAGAGTGGTAACTTATGGAATTCCTCAAGGAATAGTTTAGGGGTTAATTCTCTTTATGACTTGTACTATTTATTTTCTCTAAGTTGCATCGGCACTGTTGCATCATTTGTAGATGGTACGGTTTTATATCCTGGGACCAAGTGAAATAATTTAATAAATAATATAATAATGATAATTCAAATAATTTTTAATTTATTTTCTAAAAAACCTTATCAAATACCATTTCATTCCATTTGATAAGTTTATTTTTTAGAAAATTGGCTAATACCTTTATATTGCAACGAATTCCTAAATACTTTGAATATTTATTATCAATTTTAGATAAAACTAAGGCTACTACCTCTGTCAATATAATAAAGGATTCTCCTAGAAATAATTAAATTGATATTTATTTACCGTACAGAAATAATATAGGCGTAATTGATAGTACTAATTCAACTAATTAGGTATTTGGGAGTAGTAATAGATTTAAATCTCAGATGAGATAATCATATCCAGAAACCGATTAAGTTGGAATAACTAATATATAGCTTTAAAACTTAAACAAATTATGGATTCTAAAAGGATAATTTCTTGTTATTGTGCAGTCTTGATATAATTGGCTGGAAGGTACTTATACTATGCCAAGAAACGCCCTGAAATTTTCGAAAACTGAATAATAAATAATGTTCAACTTGCTTTATTCAATATTTTGCATAAGGAGTTTCACTTATAGGTTTACAAAATACAGTTAACACAAGAATTATTGGCAGCTGATCATCATTATGTCGTATATTTGTTAATTGGGTTCTTGCAGTGAAAGAAGAAAATGATGATTTTTTTAACAAAATCATCTTTAGTGATGAAGCCCATTTTGATATTGGTGAACATGTAAACAAACACAATTGTCGTGAAGATATTCGAGTAACCAATGCATCCACAAAAAGTAACTGTTTGGCGTGGTTTTTGGTCTGGTGGAGTGTCTCTTTGAAAATGAAGTTGCAAATGTGGTCAATATAGAACAATGGGCCTTTTATGATATGGACTGGAGCATATTAATGTACAGAATATGTGGTTTCAACAGGACGGTGCAACATGTCATATAGCAACGGAAACAATAGATCTTGAAACAGAAATTTGGTAATCGAATAATTTCTCGAATTAGACTCACCATTAGACTTCTTTTTATAGGATTTCTTGAAGAGCAAAGTTTATGCTGACAAGTCTCAAACCATTTAACATCTGAAAGAAAACATAATTGAGCAAATCACTAAAATTCAACCACTATTATATGAACACGTGATGGAAAATTTTGCTAAAAGATGAAAGGTTTGTAGAGCTGTAGGTGGTCACTTATCTGACATTCTTTTCCATTATTAATCGCAACATATTTACTTTAATGTTCAATAAAGATATCTAGTTATTTCGAATAAATTATTTTATTAAAAAGTTTTAGAAAATTATATCTCTTCCCGATTCAAAACATTAATACAAAGAAGACATGTCTATAATCTATGATACGGTTTCTAAAAGAAAATGAAAATAAAGAAATTTTTCTAAAACTTTGTCTGTATCGGGTGTCCGGTAAACAATGGATAACCTTTTAACCGTGGATTGGAGACCTTAAGGTTGTTCAGAAAATCGACTTTTGTCTTAGTACAAAGTCCATTCATTTTGCAGTTATTTCGTTTTTTTTTTCGAAATTTCCACCGTAGGTTACTTTATTGGTCATTATGGCCACAAGAGAACATATTATCTTTCAGTTGTTATTTAATTGTATTTCAAAATTACAGTAAATGTTTAAATTGTCTTCCGCTTTTCCTGATGCAGGCACTGCACTTTCTTATGAATGCCCTTTAGAACTTTCGTTTGCATCTTCGCTGACTAACGTAAAATTTAAGTTTAATATTTTTTTAAACAAGAACTACTATTGCTAGTTAAATTTCTGATAAGCATCTAATAATAACACAATTCAAAATATTACGCAAAATAACTGAAAGATAATACGTTCTCTTGCGGCCGTAGTGACCAACAAAGTAACCTATGGCGGAAATTTCGAAAAAAACCGAAATAACTGAAAAACAAAGGGACTTTATACTAAGACAAAAGTCGATTTTCTGAGCGACCTTAGGATCTCCCATCCACGGTTAAAAGGTTATCCATTATTTACCGGACACCCTGTATATCACTAATCTCTTTGAAATGTTTTATTATATGTATATAAAAAAGTAAAACTTACAAGTGGATGATCTAATTCAGTATAAAGGCAATTCCCATCATTTCATTCCCCATCCCACGTTACGAGAATTTATAGAATTTCGAGGGCGTTGTTTGTTTGTTTATGTTAATATGTTTGGTTACATAATATAATTCTTTTCATGAGATACGTCCGCGGAACATGTTTAAAAAAATGATAACCGGTTATATCGGTGAACAACAACAACCGGATCGATTGGGTTTAAGTATTCGACTTTTTGTTATTTATTAATAGCGGATAATTCAATTTAATAGTGTCTAGAACGTGGCGTGACACCTTTCAAACAAGCAGCGTTACGGATTACTTACTGCAATCAATAACTAGAAGATGCTGTAAGTAGTAGTGAGCAGCTAAATGCTACTACAGAATTACATATAAAATTTAATGTATAATCGACCAGCCCTTTGTTGTAATAAGCTAAAATATGTGGAATAAGAATTAAGGCAATTGAAGAAAAATGGTCAAGTAATTATGTTACTTAGGACATTTTCAAAAATTATGAAATTCAACCAAGAAAAAGTAAATGGTTTTGTTGCGATAATCAGCGAATCATAATTTATCGTCTAAATTAGTGTGGATATGATGCTTTAAAAGCATTGTATGTAATTAGAAAAATATCCAATTTGAGAACTGTTTCAACAAATTCAGCAAATCTATAAAATAAATTCACACAACTCAGAATCTCCACCTTCTAGTCATAGTCGTATCTCAATATGTAATGTCCTATAAGTGTCGCAGGCAATAAATTATTACATTAAACTCACAAGGTCAAATAAAATAAATTTTCTATAAAATTTATTTAAAATAACATACGAAAAACTGAAAAATTGGCTAATAAAGTTACTTGTACTATGTATACATGTTTTGCCTGGAGAAAATATACAACTTTGTCTAGAGGTACATATGTGAAGTAAAGTACAGTAATATCTTCCCATTTACAATGAGTAGACAGGAACAAGTTTTATTTAAAATGTGTACCTTTTTATCAGTATAATAATCAAAATAAGTTATAGTTCTGTAGTCATTTCGAAATGGTAAAATTGTCTCGTGAAAAATAAATTGAAATTTGAATTTCAGTTGACCTTGGAAAAAATTTTAATCATAATAAAGCTTCAAAAATTTCATCCAAATGGAAAATACTTCGATAAAAGCACCTACCAAGCTATCACAACTAGTTAGACCTTAACATTTTTGGGAAACTTAACTTGAAAATTTGTTTATAGATACTTTTATATCGGGTGTTGTAGTTAACAACCACGGGTTCGATCCAAAACAGTAACCCA